ACACACACACACACACAGACACACACACAGACACACACACACACACAGACACATACACACCCATACACACACACAGACACACCCATATACACACACACACACAGACACACACGTACACACACAGACACACATACACTCACAGACACACACACACACCCATACACACACAGAGACACACACACACAGCCACACTCATATACACACACACACACATACACACATACACTCATATACACACACATTCTTCTCATTGTTCTTGTTCTTCTCCTCCTCTCTCCTCTTCTCCTTCTCTCCTCTTCTTCTTCTGTTGAATTTAATGCAGATCTTTACCTCGGTCTGTTCATGTTATCTCAGTAATGACTTGTGTTACTGACGGGCTACAGCAGATTGTCGTTGTGCGTCTCTGACACTAAACGACCCTTGAATCCTTTTGTGCATGACAGCTCTTCTACTACTTTATTTTGAAAATCCTCCACTTCTTCTGCTGCTGATGTCTCCTCCTCCCCTGAGAGTCTGTAGTTAAACACCTGCCTTGCTCCTCGCCTCTCTGCTGCCTAGAGCCCGCTTGCTTTGGGAGAGGCTGTTGTCATGGAAACGCTCCCAGAGGAGGGGAGGGGGGGAGGGTAGCGATTGGTCCCGTCCCAGGACGGGGTTTTTATTTACCGCCTACCAAACTACAGGAGAGCTTCACAGAGGAGACGGAGAGGAGCTGCTGCTGCTCGGAGGGTCGAGGTCTGAGGAAGGTGGGAGTAAAAGGGGGCAGTCGAGTGGGAGGAGGAGGAGGAGGAGGAGGAGGAGGGATGCTCTGGGGCTCTCCCCTCACCTGGCTCTGTGGTTGTTTCTCGTAGGTATTCCCGCCGTCCTGCGACGCCCTTGGTGGCTTTTTTCTTCCAGTCGTTCACATTTTTACGGTTTCCTCTCGTCTCCCAGGTCCCGCGCTCTCCCCAAACTGAGGGAGGCGACCTCCCACGAGTCTCTGCTGAGCCCCGGCAGCGCGGTGGAGGCTCTGGACCTCAGCATGGAGGAGGACGTGTTCATCAAGCCGCTGCACAGCAGCATCCTGGGGCAGGAGTTCTGCTTCGAGGTGAGGACGACAGAAACACATATATACAGCAGTTGCTGGTCATATAATTAGAATATCATCAAAAAGTTGATTTATTTCACTAATTCCATTCAAAAAGTGAAACTTGTCCATTATATTCATTCATTACACACAGACTGATATATTTCAAATGTTTATTTCTTTTAATTTTGATTATAACTGACAACTAAGGAAAATCCCAAATTCAGTATCTCAGAAAATTAGAATATTGTGAAAAGGTTCAATATTGAAGACACCTGGTGCCACACTCTAATCAGCTAATTAACTCTAAACACCTGCAAAGGCCTTTAAATGGTCTCTCAGTCTAGTTCTGTAGGCTACACAATCATGGGGAAGACTGCTGACTTGACAGTTGTCCAAAAGACGACCATTGACACCTTGCACAAGGAGGGCAAGACACAAAAGGTCATTGCAAGAGAGGCTGGCTGTTCACAGAGCTCTGTGTCCAAGCACATGAATAGAGAGGCGAAGGGAAGGAAAAGATGTGGTAGAAAAAAGTGTACAAGCAATAGGGATAACCGCACCCTGGAGAGGATTGTGAAACAAAACCCATTCAAAAATGTGGGGGAGATTCAGAAAGAGTGGACTGCAGCTGGAGTCAGTGCTTCAAGAACCACTACGCACAGATGTATGCAAGACATGGGTTTCAGCTGTCGCATTCCTTGTGACAAGCCACTCTTGAACAACAGACAGCGTCAGAAGCGTCTCGCCTGGGCTGAAGACAAAAAGGACTGGACTGCTGCTGAGTGGTCCAAAGTTATGTTCTCTGATGAAAGTAAATTTTGCATTTCCTTTGGAAATCAGGGTCCCAGAGTCTGGAGGAAGAGAGGAGAGACACACAATCCACGTTGCTTGAGGTCCAGTGTAAAGTTTCCACAGTCAGTGATGGTTTGGGGTGCCATGTCATCTGCTGGTGTTGGTCCACTGTGTTTTCTGAGGTCCAAGGTCAACGCAGCCGTATACCAGGAAGTTTTAGAGCACTTCATGCTTCCTGCTGCTGACCAACTTTATGGAGATGCAGATTTCATTTTCCAACAGGACTTGGCACCTGCACACAGTGCCAAAGCAACCAGTACCTGGTTTAAGGACCATGGTGTCCCTGTTCTTAATTGGCCAGCAAACTCGCCTGACCTTAACCCCATAGAACATCTATGGGGTATTGTGAAGAGGATGATGCGAAATGCCAGACCCAACAATGCAGAAGAGCTGAAGGCCACTATCAGAGCAACCTGGGCTCTCATAACACCTGAGCAGTGCCACAGACTGATCGACTCCATGCCACGCCGCATTGCTGCAGTAATTCAGGCAAAAGGAGCCCAAACTAAGTATTGAGTGCTGTACATGCTCATACTTTTCATGTTCATACTTTTCAGTTGGCCGAGATTTCTAAAAATCCTTTCTTTGTCTTGGTCTTAAGTAATATTCTAATTTTCTGAGATACTGAATTTGGGATTTTCCTTAGTTGTCAGTTATAATCATCAAAATTAAAAGAAATAAACATTTGAAATATATCAGTCTGTGTGTAATGAATGAATATAAGAGACAAGTTTCACTTTTTGAATGGAATTAGTGAAATAAATCAACTTTTTGATGATATTCTAATTATATGACCAGCACCTGTATATATATGTATACATACAGTATGTGTATATGTATATATATGTATATATATGTGTATATGTATATATATGTATGTGTATATGTATATATATATATATGTGTATATGTATATATGTGTATATGTATATATGTGTATAT